TATCAAATTTTCCTCGTTCTAAACGTAATTAACTGGTAATAAACTTTGTTACGTTAGATTAGGGTTTATTTTTCATTGTGGACTCACGAGAGTTTGGAAATGAAATTTTCATAAATGTGGCTTCGGGGTGAGTTTGCGGGGGCTCGAGGGGTGGACTTGGGGGGGTAGGTAGTATTTGTGTTTTCCCCGCAGTTTCCGAGGGAAGGCACCCGATACTTGAGCTCCTGTTGTGTGTAAGCGGCAAACGGAAAAATTATTAATAATAATTACGCCGCTAGTGCTGAGTAATTATAACGTATGTACCTTCCTAAACCATAGCTATACCATGGCGGTGTACAAAGCGTTTGTTCATCGACTTAGCAAAGCTCCAAGAAAACACCATTACTTTCCAAAGCGCCGCCTTTCTTCCCGATAGATTTATAAGAACACTTCCAACCATTCTTGCTATCAATATAGACGAATATCAACATAGTAGGTACATAATGTAGGAGTGAATACTTAGATACTTGTAAATGATTTTGTATCGAATAATAATTAGTAATATGTTTATCTAGAAAGACAAATATACTACTTTAAATGAAATATATTTTATGGTGTAAGTACAAAATAAACTTCTGTCAATCAAATCAGCCAAAAAAATATTTAAATGATCTTTAAATGTTATTTCTATCCATATATAGGTACCTACATATAATAAAAGTGTAATTGATCGCTGTCTGTACATGGAAGATATTTCAGAAAACCTTTTATGGGTGGTCTTTATTAACGCAATAGGATCCAAAACAATAATTTTTAGATTTTTTGTCTGTTTGTCTGTGCGTTTGTGCACACTAATCTCATAAACAGCTTAACCAGTTTGGGAGCGGTTTTCACAAATGTATTGTGGTAAGCTTCACTTTACATTTAGTATTAGTTTTATTTCAATCGATTTATAAATAAAAAGATATGTCAATTTAAAGAATCATCTAACAACGAACCCGAGGAAAGCGAGGGTGAGTCACTAGTTTGTTAATATAGTTAGGAACATAGTAATTAATTATTATTGTAATATACAAACAAATGAGTTTGTTTTGCAATAATACATACAGTGTGTATAGAAAACATCACAATGTATTTAAAATATGTTTATTGTTTGAAATATAGGTGTCTATACTTGATTATATTAACTTACACTTTTTATTAAGTACTCGCTATTGGCGTTTAATAATTAATAAATAAGAATAAATAAATTTATTTTTAATTTTCTATGACTTTATTATTTTATTTTTGTAAATAGAATAATATTTGACGTTTATATAGAAATAACTTCGACGTATACATAGTATATAACTTCATTCATTAACACCTCCAGGTAAGTTTCTAAAAAATTCATTAAAATTCTAAGAAATCTATTGTTAACTGACACGCCGGCGTGTCCGCGGTCGTGGAGGGATTAAAATATTTGTGAAAATATCATGTAACCCAACAAATATTATTAAAACAATACACGTATTGAACACTTCCTTTTTTTAAAATCGATAAATAAACGATTCAAAACAATTGAAATATAAAAATCGTCTATTCACTATTAATCAATGCCAATCAATGTTTGACGTCAATCAGTTTCGAGTTCCGTTTTACTAATTAAAAAAAAAGCTCTATTCAATAGCACTGTTTCCTAACAATTGTATAGAAAGTCTTCCTTCTGCGAAATTTTGTGTTTCTTCGCGCAAAATATCGTGTTGCCACGATCGGGTGTCGGATTCGTTTCGAAAAGACGTAGAGAAAGTAGTATGTCTTTCATTTAGGGTTTCGAACGAACGATTCTACTTACGTTATATATTATATACTATACGTTTTAGTCCAATTATATATATATATATATATATATATATAGAATTTTTAAATGTCTCAGTAAGATCAAGTACTAAGAAGTTTCTCGTTTTTTTTAAATATAGTAATGAACTGGTAACTCTTGTTGTATAGACATTAGACGGCTACAAGGCACCCCAAAACTTTCTGGACAATAAACTCTAAGTTATAATGAGTCCCTAAATAACAAAATCATGTCATTATATATATATATATATATATATATATATATATATATATATATATATATATATAAAATAGAATTTTAAATGTCTCAGTAAGATCAAGTACTAAGAAGTTTCTCGTTTTTTTAATATAGTAATGAACTGGTAACTCTTGTTGTATAGACATTAGACGGCTACAAGGCACCCCAAAACTTTCTGGACAATAAACTCTAAGTTATAATGAGTCCCTAAATAACAAAATCATGTCATTCATTAGAATTTTCTGAGTATTGACGGACAAACCAATAAATCAACCAATATTTTAGCATTTATTATATATTTCAAATAGAATTTTATATAATACTAGCAGCTCAATCGTTGACTCGTCCCTAGGTATGTTTTAACGGTTAGTTGGGAATAGACGGACTAAATATTAGATATACATACATATATATGATGAGTTGTCGTGGGTTATATTATTACATGTTTTCCCGTGGGTACAAGTTAATCTCGCACGGTAAAGTAGCCTATGGCTCTCTCCAGCCCTCCAACTATCAGCACACAAAAAATCACGCCAAGCCGTCACTCTGTTTCGATGTGACAGAAGGACAAACAAACATACTTTTACATTTATAATATTATCAATTATGAAGTATAATAATAATACTGGCGACTTAACCTTACTTATCCTTAGTGCGTTCGTAGGTACCTAAGAATAGCCTCTGTGTTCTGGTTCATAGTCTTACATATATACACACACACATGCATATAGACAGACACACAAATTTTAGCATTTTAACATTAGTCCAATGTACTATATATAATTTTATATATATTTAATAGTGTCTCGAAGTTTCTCTCGTCATGCGCAACCTACAGCTAGCGATGGCTCACCCAGCATCGGGTGTCATGTTGCGTACAATCGATGGCAATTGACGACGTAATGGGATAATGGGCGTTTTTGTTGTACCTCGAATCGGAGACGACGTTTTTTCTTAATCGAATTATGGGATTTACTGTCGAAGTTAATTGTGCGGCTCAATACCTACGTGGGTCCTGCTTTCATAATACATTCATTTGTAATTTCTATTAGATTGTTAAACGATTGTAAGATCTGTTTCGTATATCACATAATATTATGAATTTTATTAATCACTAGTGATTTATCCTCACTTTACTCAGGTGCTTCTTTGGGTACCTAAAAGAAGTCTGTGTCACTCTAGGATATCCTATTCTATATAATAGTCTATCTGTATACTAAATTTTATCTTAACCTGTCCAGCCATTGTTGCGTAAAAATGTAACATACACAGACACACATACAATGTTTCGCATTTATAAAAATAGTCCGATTCATTGTTATCGAGCAAGAAGGAAGAAGTAATCCTTACAGCATGAAGTTATGTATTTGGCCTTCAAAATATATATTTGTAGATTTTCTTCGATAAGTTAAAATTTTAAATGATTTATTAACAAAGATTTTGAGTGGGTAAGGGTCAGCATTTTTTTAATCGATAAACTCTGGCATAGACTTCGTACGCTTGAATTGTGTTTTATATTTTATGTATAGAAAGTTATATTTATATATTTCTATATATGTATATATATATATATATATATATAATATTTAAGAAAGGTTACTTACTAAATTTAATAAGTAATCTAAAACAATAGTAAATTAATTTGTCATAATTTTAACATCAACAACATTAGTTCACAATTTAAATGCCAAATTATTATTTACAAATATACTAGCGACTCGCCCTAGCTTCACTCGGGTTCGTCCCTAGGTACGTTTTAACGGTTAGTATGGAATAGAAACACAAACATAAACACAACACAAACAGAAACAAATCTATCCCACGGGAACGCTTCATTTTTTCGGAATAAAAAGTAATCTACATGCTATTTTAGACTATAATCTATCTCTGTACAAAATTTCATCCAAATTCGTTCAGCCGTTCCGGCGTGATTGAGTAACAAACATCCATCCATCCTCACAAACTTTCACATTCATAATATTAGTATGGATTATTATTGAATTTCATACTTACATAGCATAATAATGAGTGAGAAATATGTAATATAAATCTAGTGATATCTTGATATACATAAATAGATACATTAAAAGAAATTCGCTTAGTCATGACATAGAGTATAGAATCATTACAGAGATCAAAAATCTGACTCCAGTTAATTATAAATGACAGCGCTAAATAACTATGATTATAATAACAGTGATCGCAAGGCAATATTACGACATGCTGGGGTTAAGTGATCATTGTTTTGTTCTGTGATTTTAATTTAAGATGATATGGAACTACTTTACTATTTCGATCATTGAATTTTTAAATATACGGGGAATAATTAGAATAGTTAATTCATGCTTTATTTTAAAGTATAATTTACAGCTATAGATCCTTTATAGAACAGGTTTATATTAAGCGAACACTTTTTATATCCTTGGAGTGAAATAGAAAAAAATAATTACAGTAGTTATATGTTTTTATTTAATTTTATAATAATAATTTAAAAAAAGCTAAAAAAATCTTAAGATGAAAAAGAAGCTTATCATTTTTACCATAACTGACTGAACGTATATTTTTTGAATGAGAATCACAGGTTTTATTCCTTCTCTATATATAATTAATAACCAAAACATCATATTATAATAAATGAAAATTTAGCTTTTTTAACGTCACTTCGCACTTAACGATCTTATGTAGTAAGTGAAGTAGACTAAAGTCCACGATGCTGGCTAACTGCGGGACTTTACACTTCCATAGAAAACTTATTAGGTTTTCATAAGGATGCAGGTTTCCTCTCTATATTTTCCTTCATCGTATACCGTAAATGCTAATCATGTTAAAATTTAAATAAGCATATTAGAGGTACCAGATAGAGGGTTGAAATCAGCTTAATTTAGTTTTTCAAACTGATATATATCGTATATCATAGTAATCTCGTCAGGTAAAATGCACGTACCTGTATCCTATCTTCGGGTAGATCAGTTTTCAATGAGAGCATCTCCCGCGCGTACACGTCCGGGTAGTGTGCGTCTTTAAAAGCTTTCTCTAGCTCGTCCAGCTGGTACGAGGTGAAGATCGTCCTGCTGCAGAAACCGAACACAGATGGGTAGACATGGAATCCGGTAATCAGATCAATTTTATATGACTAATTTTCAACGTATTCTGCTAGAAAATTAAGAAAATCGATTGATACAGACAGACAAATATGCAATTATAGGTATTCATAGATATAGATAGATAGGTACTCATATTGTCCTCAATGATGATGGAAAAAATATTGTGATTGTAAATTTTATATGTTTTTTATTCTTTGGGTGTCGAAATAAACACAATAAAAAAAATTACATTCAAAATCTGCTATTTAATGTACATTAAAAAGAAAATAAATTTAGCATTAGTTGAGAAGGAATTAATGAATACTCTTTCTGACGAAATTGTAGGTGATATGAGAACGAAACTTTTTCAAAATTAACTAGGTTACCTATGTCTGCGTTTTTTCTTCTTTTTCTTCCCATTGTATCCAGTGAGACCATCAACTGTAAAGTCTTTCGCTGCTTCTAGGGAGGATACACCTGTGGACAAACAGACTACGTTAAATTATAAAATGTTATTATAAGTAAAAGTATAAAGTAACACTTATAAATGCAGATAGGATAGGTACAGTGACATAAAATTCCACAATCCATCTTCTACCAATTGTAAAATAATCTTTATTAGATGACTGCGTCTGTAAACAATTTTATGTTTTCACAAAATGGGAATAAGCGTGAATATTTCAATAAAGCTTTGCTTAATTTTGTTGTTGTAAATTTGACTTAAAAGTATACTCAGATAAAATGAAACAAAACAAACACACCAGACGATCATATTAAAAATTATAATATATAAACAACAAATGATTATAAAAAACATTTTTTAATATAAAACAAAATTATTTTATACTGCCAAACATTTTACTGAGCAAAAACAAATTTACAATATTGTCGTGATAATTACGTTCAACAAACAACTGGCCCCAACCGTAATCCATAGCAGTTTATCGAAGTATGGGGATTGTCACATAATTACCGAATGTGATTGCCAAATGAATTAGTAAACAGGCGAGCGACGGGTTAACAGAGCAGGCCCGCGGCTGGGGGACTCCCTCGGGATACCCAGTAATTGAATTTAATGCCAATGAATACGACAATGAATTATTAAATTTAGACCGGTTGCCTTATAGACTCTACCTAAGTCGTTTCAACATTTTTGTAGAGCGTCCATTGCTGATTTTCATATTTATTCGCTGACTCCATATTTTTAAAGCTAGTAATGTATACTAAGCGGCAAGGTTAATTCATGAATTTTATTTGCTGTGTGTGTGACGAATTGTTGATAGAATTGTTTGTGAAAGGGTGCAAGTATTGGATAGTCACGGGTCCAGCCACGTGGTCGTGTAACACGTTATTTGTTTTATTGAGGGCGGTTAACGGAGCGCTGGACGATGGTGTGGCTTTGTTGAAGTAATTATATCTCTAGGTTACACTTGTTATAAAAAATCTAGGGCAAACTCAAATTAATGATTAATTACAATAGGAATATAAACAATTTAATAATAATGTATAAGTATTAATGAATAATGTGTATGAAATAATACTTATTTTCTTAGACAATATGCATAACTTATTAACTTAGACTTTGGTAACATGTTATTTTATAATGTAAAAGCTTAAAATAATATTTTAAATAATAATTAAAAAAAATAATCACCCAGGACCCCCAATTATATTTTCATTTACTTATCTTGAATATCATTAGGTACCACTAATGAAATAAGAAAAAACACTTGCAAATAAACGAAGCTTAATATTATATTATATTTCTAAAGTAAAAAAAAATACTAAAAAAATAAAATCTAAATTTATGATACTTAAAAACAAGAATAGTTTACCTCGTATATATCAATACTAAGCGCCCACGAAACATTATAATACAGAACTAATAAAGAATGTACAAACGCGCGCGTGTAATTGATTAGCTCGCCCGTATAGGCGGCGGCGGGGACCAATCAACATTCCCCGCCAATCGATTGCCCGCCCTACCTTGACCACCTTACACCTTACACCCTACACACGATGCATACCAACCTAATATATTTCACAAATTCTACTAGCATTCGTGACTTTATGTAGAACTCTATATTTTACTAAAGACCTTACATCTATACTTCTATATCCTTGATGATATAAAAAATATTATATGTAGAGTTTTCTTTCATAGTTAATTAAAGCTTAAACTTTATTCAAATTGCTTGACCTTCTTAAAAAGAATTAATATATTTTTTCATTAATTTGACGTTTCTGACAAACCTAACAAATCATACGACATCGACGACTCAAGACTATATAAATTTGGAATAAAACAGATCAATATTAAAACAATACGATTTTGAAATAAAAATAAAACGAATATTGCTATGAAATACATACTGAAACTAATATGTCAATTCGAACTAACTAGTCTTTTGGGTAATCGATTTGTACCACGACAGTAGGCAATAACACGCTGCCTTGTCACTAGCTATTGCCTTCAACAGTATAATTATATTATAATTATCACATTAAAATTATTTTTAAGCTCTCTGGTACTTATAGGAATATATTATATATAAAAAAGTAGAATATTAAACAAAAAATATTATTTTAAGGAAAAATCCTTTAAAAATAAATTTATATAACACTTAACGCAAAAACACCAAATATGACTTTTATTTTTCGAATTAAGACAAGTTAAATATTTATTAGGTACATTCTTAAGTGAATTACAATTTCTTACGCCTGTAACAATGTAATTTACTCCAGCCTCCTTAGGGACCGCAGTAGAGCAAGGGGAAAAGAAATTACTCTATCATTTGGAACCAAGTTAGGTAGTTTACAAGTCCAATAATATATTAGCAAAGAATAATTTATATAAACTATAAAAAATATTCGTGTAAACGTGAATATTTAATCAAAGAAACTAAAAATATGTCATTTATATAAAATTAATTAAGTCAAGTCGAAAAAAGCCTAGGTTTTATGGAAAAACTTGAAGCAATATTCACGTGTAATGTCATTTCAAGAGCTATTAGTTTGACTAAAGTTACAAAATATGTAAAATGAAAGCAAATATAAAGTGTCTTAAAAGCTTCTATTTAGCTTTCACCGCACAGTCTCTATCAACTGATAAACTCTAATTTCAATTTAACTAAATCGGTCTTTATAATTTTAATGAGCAGACAACTGCGCTGGCTTTAGATGATGGCAGAGTATTATCCAAATGGGCATTTTGGCTAAGTCTCTTGTAGAGTAGTGAAGAGGCAAAGTAATGCATTACATTAAGTATTTGAATAGTATACATACTATGACCATGTAGCATTTAAAAATGATTGTGAAACTGTTTAAAATATAACAGGCAGACCATTACGTAAAGCGTAGAACGAAAACCGATGGGTAATGTATGCGTCGCCACGAATTGGAAAAACAACGTGAAGGGATCTCTATCTAATGGGAATACAGATGAAAATTGTGTGCGGAAATATAATTTAAATACGAGGGCCCTCCCTCAAGCTCACAAAATATGACTCTCGGCGAAGGAAAGCTACTTGTGCTGGAGAGTACACTGCCACTTTACCGACATTGTTACAGCACATAATAACAAACATACGAACCTAACGACTAACGAGAGACTTTTCACGCATTGTATGCCTAATTCTGAGACCTTCTATGATTTGCGAAAGGGTACCTAAGTATCACTTCGGTTTTTGCAGTCTTGGATGTCAAGTTGGAACCCAATCGAAAGGAGTAGCGGTTGAAATGCCATTGTTATAAACCAAAAACCATTTTATGCCCAAGTTTAACACATTTATGCGTCATAAATAAAAATGATTTAAAAATATTTGGTATGATAGCTTAGCATGAAAATTAATGAACAATACATACTCATTATTATTATTTTTATTTTCACTTATTAAAGAGATGTCTTGCCACTTGGCCATTAGGCCAAACGGCAAGACATCTCTTCATCTCTCACTCATCATTTCATAAGAATTGTAAAATTATGTGACACTAGGCCTTTTAAGGGTTAGTCTAGATTTTATAAAGATGAGATATTTTTCCGCAATAAAAAGTATTCTATATATCGACCCACATAACCAGCTATCATTACAACAAATTCCATCAAAATCTAACAGACAAACAAACAGACATACAGACGAAAATTCAAAAAAAATATAAAGATTCGGCCTTTGTATCGATAATAATGACTTTTTCAATAAGATTTTCCAAAAAATATTTAAAGTACAGATTCCACTCGGTTAGAATTTTATTATAATATGTATGTATAGACTACAGAATCTTTTATATTCATTTTGTTAATTTAAAAAATAATAACGATAGTAATAACAGATATCACATTTAAAAAAAATGAAAACTGTAAATGACCTGAATTAATATTTTTTTTAAAAGAAAATTTAATTCTTTTCACAATATAAGGAACACATAGTTGATTATACATACTCTACATGCTCTATTAACAATATAAAGTTACAAATTTACACATAAAGCATTATATGATGTGTAAAATCTAATATATATATCAGATAGAGGCAGCCAGGCTTCGTTTATCTCATATTGGGCCAATTTCAGCCAAGCTTGGCTGTCGTATGCCACTGCTTATTGGCAATTTTCGCGAGATCAGCGCGAGATTGCATTTATACACCTTAACGCGAACGAGCCCGCTCTACCTGATTCACTCACTTTGAATAGAAATATTTCAAGATTTTATTTCTAAATCTTCGAAATATATTTTCGCTGGCAAAAGAATTTAGTACATACTGTGTAATATAAAAATTATAAAGCTATGCTGTGGTGATGGGACCAACACAAACGATTTTCTCATTACAATATTTCTCTATTACTACTCACTCAACCTAGAAGTACATGTATTTATTACACTACTAGTAAGAAAGAGGCACATACCTCTACAATGCAACTGATGTCACATATACTCTACAGTGTAAAAGGATTTACTTCAAAATCTACTATGATGACACGAAAATATTGATTTGAGTTTCTCTCAAATCTAGTATGAATTATTAATTTTTGATTCTGTAATTCAACATTAATATTTTATATATACAAAATTAAATTCAAATCAACCACTTTATTGTGAATTAAATATGATATTTGTAATTCGATTTGAATAATTTTAACTACATACTATTACGCTTGCAACTTTCACATACCTTACATATATGTAACTTTAACCATATGAGAAGCTAATCAAATGGTATTTTAAATATTTTTTATGTTTACGTATATTTTCGATGTTTTCTTTCGTGAAAAATAGATATCTGAGAAAATAAAATGAACAGAAATTATAGCTTCACATGTTTATTCCATTGTATTTTAAGCTTTTATTCTATATATTCAATCTTATTTATAAGCTCGCGTTTTTGTACAGTTAAATATAAGCCTAATAGATCATTAGGTGCAAATCTTCAACGTATCTCGACTCCGGTACGCGGTGCAAATCAAATATCCGCTCGCGCGACGACGAAATTGGCTTGTTGCGGAATTGGTTAGCGTGTGAGACGCCTCTAATTGTGCCCCGCGGGTCTGCTCGAGATTGATTCTAAATCTGTGTTTACTTGTCGCTGCACACCGCGATGGATTAACGGGACAAATTATGGGTTTATCTTCCTTGTACGGTTTGTATATATTATATATTGACTTCACTCTATGTTATATGTAGAGTCGAGTGAATATTTTTATGAATAATGTTGTTGTTAATTAACTAGTTAAATTTTTGCAATTTATGATATAAAGCGTTAAAATACTGTATAAATATTAACAATAGGACAAACTTCTCATTACCTGAATAAAATTGTCGAACAGCTACGATTACATGAAACAAACAAAAAATAATACAATTAAAACATAAAATTATAAAAGTATAAATAATAATACCTTATACAAAAAATATTATTAGAGGGAAACTGACACAGTAGTATAAACAAATTGTGAAAATGTTATTTCCAATGGACGATCACAATATTTTAAAAACACAAAGTTCTACCCTCTCTTTAGTCGGTTACGTATCTAGGCACTTAACAATAGCCTATGTGTTTTGCCACGTAATAATCTACTGACAAGTAGAATAAATTTCATCCAAATTTGTTCAGACGATTCAGCGCGACAAATCAAACAATAATAATCAAACATACACACACATATTTTATATAAATCACAAACGTTCTCTTTTGTATATAAAATAATAAATTACCTTTTTTAAACTTGCTTGATTTCAAAAAATATCTAATAAACATTAACAGAAATTATAATATACTATATAAGACGACATGTTTGGCTCAGTTTGTAGTGACCTTACATGCTGTGCCAGTGATCGCGGGTTTGAGTCCCTCTGGGGGCATTCGTTTGTGTGATGAGCACGAATGTTTGTACTCCAGTCATGGGTGTTTATATTTATAATATGTATGTATTTAATGTTATCACAGTTATAAACAGGCCTCGTAGCTTACTATGAAACTAGATGGTGGTGTGTGTTAATGTCCCAACCATGAACGAATTAACCACTGGACCAGACATATAAGCGGACGTACCTTTACCGGTCTTGTCAATAACCAGGGAATTTTGGCCTTGGTCGTTTGTTTTTTGTGTCAGTCTCAAGCACTTACTTGTCAACAAAACATCTCCCAAAAATGACTAAGTGTTCTGTTAAATGGTGTAAAAACTATAACGGCGGAAGCAGCACTATTTCTTCTCATTTGTAAATACATTATTTTATTACATTTATTGTTATTTATCACAAAATTTAATTAAATGTAAAATAAAATGTCATGTTATCCAACTATGTTAAATATAGTCGATATTTCTATGTATTGTTGACATCTGACAACCATCATAAAATGGCTAGATTATACCATTCAGAACAAATGACAAAACTGTCGAGTGAGTCCATTTGACATCGACTAATGCTTGACAATGTCGAAAAATATATCGATATTTGACGAAATAACTGAACGAATTGTGTTATTTGTACAGTACAATAACATAAAATAATTTTATCACAGTATCCTACAATCTGATGACAATAAATTTATAAAAATATTTTCTAAATCAAATATAAATGCAAAAATTATAATTAGTATGTGTACTCAATTTTTTATTTTTTATACCATATTTATTTACTTTGGAATATTATTCCATTGTAATAATAATAAAAATCATTTCATTTCAACACATAAATTACACAAAATCAAACAATAATGTTTTAGCACTAAACTTCTGAGTTGGCGATTTGTAATAAAACACTTTACCACTTGCACTAATTATTTTACTTTCACGATCCAACACTTACTTTGAAAATTTGCAATCACTTTTTCTTTTTTCTAATTTCACAAATGTTTATTAAGAACTGAGCAATATTAGGACAGTGTCACATTTTTATAACTACCCGAGACAATCTATTGCCAATTAAAATAGTTTAATAACAGAATCAACAAAATCACTTTATTTAATTAAATTTGCTAAATATTTTTTTAATCTTTACAAAATAATATTTATTATATATTAATGGAATATACACCCGATATTCATTTGTTCATTACATTATTATAGGCCAACAGAATGTTGCCATCAATGCCATCGTATTTATACAAATCAAATTAAAAAATTATTATTATTTGACACATTATTATTGCCTCTTTAATTCATTTATTTTAATTTATTATAATAAATACAGATATTTTAAATTAAAAGATGTAAAATATGATGACTATGCTAAGCAATGTCTAAAATGTCATTCATTGGTTCATCGATATATCTATTTCATCGATTACGTTCAAGCACTAGAAATATTGTATTGTGTATCAGTGTTTATAATAATGTAATAAAATCTTTGTGTGCGTTATGCGTCACTTGGTTGAACTAGTTTTCATACATTCGTATTTTATGTCAGGTCCAGTCTCTTATTCGTTCATGGTCCCAACATATTCATATTCATTTACTATATATGACATATAAAATATATATTCATACTTTTTTAAAAGTCCAAAAAAAATATTAAAAAACTACAATCAATTAAACATTACTTCATAGAAAAGATTAATTGCTCGACCTGTCTGTCACACGCTCGTAATACACTAGACGCTTTCTTATTTTATTTTAAAGAGTAAATGAAATGGACACTATGAACTCTAAGATTTTCAATTATGTTCAATGTTGTATAGATTTAATCTGGTAAAAAAACCAGGGGTATTGGTTTTTAGTCAATTTAGTTTGTCTTTATTCTTTTTTTTTTCTTATTTAGTTTTAGTTACATTATCATTAGTACTATTTTGGTAAGTTTTCTTTTCGTTTGAAAAGATCTATTGGTTCATATCAATGAATAATATTGATTTTAAAAATATATACTATACGTATATATTTTATCCAGCTAGGTACCATCTTATAATATTTTGCACTTCATGACCCATCACCTGTCTAATATAAAAATAAAATATCTTCAAACATCCGTGCATTCTCATTTATAATATTAGTAGGATTATTTAAGTATAAATAGTAATGTTTATCTCAAATAATTCTAAGCAAAGCCCATATAAAAATCATTGAAATGTTAAGCAATAAAACAAAGATGTAGAGTCGTATCGCATTTCGTTCACACGGCGCGGGCGCTGGCGTGAGGAAAATAGAGCAAGTACTTGTGCATTGTCTCTTATATTATGATCTCTTAAACGGTTTTGGAGCTTAGGCGGTTTGCTAGCGAGTGGGTTTTTTACAAACTTCATGTTTTTAACTAGCTCTTAAATTTCTTTCTGATTTTGCTTTCTGTAAAAATTCATAGTTTTGTTGTTTAATTTTTTAATAACAATTTAATATTTATATTACTATTTATTAATGCACTTAAATAAAATACAGAAATTAATATACAGTAAAATTTGTTAGCAAAGGTGGACCTATCTCTAGAAGAAATCTCTTTCAGTCAGCCTATGGTAATGAACACTATCCGTGTTAAAAAAAAGACTAAAGTGCAGTTACAAAAAATACTCATAAATTAAATTATTTCATTTTAGTTAAAATTCATATTATTTCAGTTACACAGTTACACCCATAAACTTTCATTATCTATATTATTATTTACATATGTTTTCCTTATATTAGAAATCAACTTGCTTATTATTATTAGTTATAGGGTTCTTTTATATTAAACCAGACGACTAGAAATCATTTTCGTTAAGTAATATTATACTGACTTTATTCAGTTGATCTAGAGAATTTTACCTTGGTCCTAGATAATTAAAAAAAAACTTAATGAAACTTTAAAACAACCTTCAATATAACATACTTCGTAAATCATTAAGTCTAAAAGCTTTAAATGTTCTTCTCGAGTCAGAACAATAAGATTTTTTTGAGATTTTATCCTCAAAAAAGATTAGACGGGGACGAACGATTATTTGGAAGTTAGTTATTTTTGAAGTTAGGATTATGAAAACTGATGTTTACGTTAAGACAAGATGTACAGTATATAATAATAGCTAAGAGCACAACACTCCATTCTCTATCTTAAACTTTCCGATTCCTGTACAATGTGTATGGAGCCACCAATACTTATATAGATTTCATATAAGTAGACATTATTATCCATACAGAGGACGAATCTATAGTTTTTAGAATTTTTGTCTGTCTGTCTGTCTGTTACCGCATCACAGAAAAACCATTGGAGAGATTTTGACGAAATTTGGCATGGTGATAGGTTATCCGGATCAACATATATGATACTTTTTACTGCGGGAAAATATCTCATTTCTGAGAAAAAATACCAAAACTGCAATATAAGAGTATACTAATATGTAAAACCTAAGAATTTGCTTTTTGGTCATCTGAACGTGGGCGGAGCCGCGGGCAATGGTAGTATGTTATATAAGTATTAATAACGTAAATGTGTATTGTACATTATTCAAAGAAAATGTGTTGTTTAAGAAATATGGTGTTTAATTTAAAAAAATAATAAAACTAGATATTTATTTCCAACGATAGTTGATAATACGTTGTTATTCCATTTGCTTAAGACAATTGATTACAAGCACTTGATTGCCACTAACCAAATCTACTTGTTACTAAATTTTTAATTCATTTATATTTGTATATAACAATATAACTTAATTAAACTCTAAAGACACAGGTGTACTCGCATGCGCTTGCGCAATTTACTCTTTAATGAGGTCCATTGTTTCATATTAGATGGATTTCATTAAATAATATTAATTATTATTTTTTAAACAAATTATTTGTCACACATTGCGTAATATTAAAACCGTTTGTATTAATTTACACTAATTTCAAAAATTCTGAAACGAAAATTTAAAATATAAAAGACATTTTTGTTATTTATTAAACATTTCAGTGAGCAAAAATATTATATTATTATTACTAATTTCTGAATCATAAAAATACTCATTAATTTAATTTACAGCTTCAATATTTTTATTGGACACTGACGACCGTGTCGTGAAGTGTATGGCACTCGGTATTTCAGTAGAAGTTATGAATTCGATTTGTGTGTGAAACAGAACGCTTTGAGAGCTTTATAAACATTTGTCCCAACCCTTTATAAAGAGGATATAAAGATCTTAAAATAGCCTTATAATAGCACTCTCTCTATCCTATAAGCTGTGGAGGATGATATCTGGGTAAGAAAATTAATAATATATACTAAATAATAATAGTACAATTTCAAACATATTTTTATTATATAAATAACTTTTCCAATTTTCCAATACAATATCGTTCAAAATCTAAACAATTACATTATTTGTGGGTATTTTAGGAGATTACAATAATACGTACTTATCCGGAGTGCGAGGGTTAGTTCGGAG